TAGTAGTATGTAGTAGTATGTAGTAGTATGTAGTAGTATGTAGTAGTGTGTAGTAGTGTGTAGTAGTATGTAGTAGTATGTAGTAGTATGTAGAGTAGTACTAGTAGTAGTAGTCGTCGTCGTCGTAGTCGTCGTAGTAGTAGTAGTAGCAGTAGTAGTAGCTGCTGCTGCTGTTTCCTAGGGGGGTTAGACCAATGGCCACTTTGGCTGCTTCGGGTGGTCGTGCTGCTGTTTTTGCAAAGTGGGATAGACCGTCAACCAAGAAACCCACTAATGGGCAATTCGCTCAAACCCACTGATCCGTAAAGAGCCCTAGTCCGCCATCCGGTAGCCGTCCCTGAGCGCGACGTCTTCAATAAAGTTTGGTCATTGCTTGCTGCACTTTCCACAAGTTTAAACTTGCTGAAGGAAACAGAAAACGATAGAAACATATTCAGAAGAGATGGCAAACAACAAATTGAGGTCCATACCTGGAACTTCCTCAGAGTGCCTTTTTTCGATCTGCGGCGTGAAAAACATCTTTTGGAGTCACAGCCTTATATTTATGTTTCTCTAGTTTTCTGTTGTTTTTTATGATATTCCACGGGCATTTATAAACAAGCTGTATTGGTGAGCCACAGGCGTTTTTCCCGAACGTGTTTCTTAAGCGGATGTCTATTTTGGTTGCGGATGTTTATGTGGTTCACTACCGAACGACCGACCAACAACACACGCTCTTCTAAGAAGTTGCAGGTATGAACCACCACCGTTGGGGGATTGTACCATCTGAAAGCATTTTAGAAACCCAATGCACTCTACAAGTAGGGGGGCTTCTGAAAAAAATCCAGCTTCGGTTACTGTCCCTTCTGCATGCCTGCGAGCTCGATGGGCCCGGAGACCACCTGGCGGCGAACGCGTCTCAGTGAGACCATTCTCTACACCGACCCGTCGTACATCAGGAGGTATGACTGGACCCAAACACATGGCACCCGGGCCCCGGTCGTCCCACCGAAACGAAGCTCGGTACGACTGGAGGCCTAGGGATTCAATCAAAGTACCCGCCATTCCCTATGGATCCACTGCCACCGAACCTCACAAGGAAATTGGACCCTCCAAGCACCTTCTCAGAAGGTATGTGGATCCATAGGGATTGATCCAATTGAGTGGTCTGGCTGGCGCGCACGAGAGCGTGCTGTGACTTTCACCAAGCACTTCTTCATGGAACATGGCCAGGTAAGGAAGACTGTTTTTCTCTACTGTTCCAGGCCATTTTCCACTTCAATGATTGTTGGAGGGAGGGTACAACATGGTATAACTGAACTGGAGATCCCAGTGGCTAGTTCGGTCACGACTCGTCGACTTGTCCCTGAATGATGTCGCAATGCGACAGTCTCGGGCTGAAGGTCCTGGAAAAGACACGACTGAGCTGGGCGCCGTTCGGTAGAAACTCGGTCGACCGAAATGTGGAGCGAGCAGGGTTCCAGCTCCACACCACCCTCAGTGGTTGTCTGACCGGAGAACCATCATGCCCTGGTGCCTGATTTCTACTCCCCAAAACCGCCCTCCTCTTTCATCTCCAAACAAGAAGTACACCGTGCTGAAGGGTCTAAGGTCTGCCCAAAACTCGACAGGAGCACATCAATGGATATAGGATGAGAAGTACTCAGAAGTACGGCTGAAAATCCTACTCCTTATTCAAACAAGATCTGCCATGTAGTTCGTTGCTGATTGATCTGGGAAATTCCGTGAAGTTGTGTTGTAGAAACCAGCTCTCCGTGGAAAGAATCCAAATCAATTCCCAAACAATCCATGTACGACCTTCAGTCCGTGACCTCTTTGGAGTCTCTGTTTGTGACCTTGTACAGACCTAAGTGACCTCATCCTGGGATATCAAGTTAGGTCACTTTGAAGGTCCTGGTATGATCATGTATGGCATCAACAACTCAGGAATTGGGGTGGTTTCAGGGGTGAATGTGTGTACACATGGAGTGCCTGGGATTAATCATCGCGGCCAAAAACGCGTGGAAGTGGAGGGTCCACTGGACCACCGTGTAGAAGACAATGGTCCTTTCTAGGAGGCCACCACTTCCATGATTGTTGGGTTCGAACGTCACACTCACAGCACACTCACATCAGACCATCCCGGCCCCAGTGCCTCTTCCGCTTCCGGCCATCTCCTATCGAGATCGAGAGCCGCTGGCAGGCATCACGACGGCTGAGTGTCTGAACCCATTGACCCAATGGGACTGGCACTCCATGGGACTGGCATATTGACCGATCAGGTATGGGTGGTTGACCGATCTTGTCAATGTATGCATACAGTCCAGTCCCATGGTCTGGGATTGACAGAGGTCCTGAAATACTTACCAACAATTTGCAACACATTGTTGAAAAAGGAGGGTCACTCATCTAGAGGGTCAGCAAACGAGGACAGGGTGCCCCGCCACCAAAGACCGGTCAGGGTGGTATCGCTAGTTGAAAACTCGCCGGAAAGCATGAATTCAAGAGTGGTTTCGCTAGTAGGTTGGTGGCCATCGCTGTTAGAAACAAACAAAACACTAAACTCTTCTTCAAAGTGACCTTTTAAGGGTTCCTAATGTGACCCTTGGGAGGCTTAAGTGACCTGAAATTAGGATATCAAAAGGTCACTTGGAAGCACCAGGTTCAGAAAGGTAGTTTGCTATTAGGTTGGAGGTGGTCAAACCGTGACAGCAGTTCCATGTCCAGGACGGGGCACCAGTTGTCTGGGCACCTGCCCTTCTCACATCCACGGCCCCTTTGCTTCATGAGACGAGCCACACCACACCACACCACCCCCAGGTAGCTCCAGGTAGCTCCAGGAGCGTCTGGTCCCCTTGGAGTTGTCTCCCCGATTACCCGATCACTGACTTTGACAAATGCTGGCTGGAGCCAGCACAACAGGGTCCAAGACCTGAGCCCTTCGTGATCTCTTTGAAGTCTCTAAGCGACCTCTTCGTGACAACGAGTCGTGACCGAACCAGCCACTGGGATCTCAAGTTAGGTCACTTTGAAGGTCCTCCATGATGGTTCTTCATTTGACGGTTGGCTTTGACGTTGGCTTAGGGAAGTTTTGTGCATGGACGACTTACCATCACCACAAATCAAAGATGGACTGACCCTGACAAGGGTAATCTGTTCACACTCAAATTGTGTAGGGAAACCAAACAAGCCAGCATTCTGCAAGCTGGCCCATGATAGGATTCTCTTGGAGTTGCTTAAGGAACTGGATTCACCCATGGGGGAAAAAAGAATCATCACCCAGCTTCTTCAGTTCGTGACCCATTGAAGGGTTCCTAATTAAGTGACCCATAAAGGAGGCTTGTTCGTGACCGAACCAACCAGGTGATCAAGTACGGTCACTTGGAAGAACCAGGACCCGCCCGGACCCGATGTCCGCCAAAACCACCGGTTTCGTCCGCACCGGTTCGGACGACTCTTTCGCTCCTGTCTTTCGCTCCTTCTGCTCACTGTCACGTCGGTTCGCCTGGTCCATGGACGCGGTCGGTCGGACCCGGTAGGCGTTTTCGACACACGTCGGCCACGAGAAGGTGCTGCAATGAGAAGACAAGTCGGGTGCCCAGACCGATGGATGTACGTGGCACCAGGAGTCCGACTGGCCTTTCCCTATGACCGACGTCGGTCGGACTCGCGGCTGGTGGACCACCGTCGGGCTTTCGACCCAACCGTAAACCATTGAACACAGTCGAGTCCAGCACCTCGATTGAAAAGAACTGATCCCAAGCTCACGGTGTACCTTCTACACAAAGTGTCCCTGACAAAATCTATGTTTGGGGTTCAGAACGCGCAAGCTACGCGCTTCGTGTGTGCCAGGAAGCCGGAAGCCGGAAGCTGGGACTCGGAACTGTCGCACCCCCTTGCCTCTCGCAACTCAGCCGCGCTCGTCACGCAAAGCGGCGGGCCACCTATTCCGGTGGGAGGGTTGGGTGTGCAGCCAGGAGTGCCTTTTGCTGTTTGCATCTGGCGCCCTGTGGAGCGAAAACCAACTCCACTCATGGAGTCGAAGTAACTAGCGAAAAGGGCTACCAAATAAACAAGTAATTACCTGCTCTAATAGGGTCATGTCCCATTCTCAAGGGTACGAATGAAGTAGGGTCCAGGTACGAATGTGACAACTGAATGAATTAGGAACGTCATCTGAAAATATCTGAAAGGTCCAAATCTCTTTTTAGCTCATCAAACATGGCATCGATCGCTGAGAAAAATATCCTGTCACTCTGGGAGCCCCCGAGCTGACTTAATTTCTGGAAACCTGAACCAATGGCTGACTAGATTCTGATATATATATATATCCTGCAACCTCGTGGTTGTTCTTTTTTGGTCGGTGGTTCGACATACCTTTATTTAGGTCTGTGAACCACATAAACATCCGCAACCAAAATTAACATCGGCTAAAAAAGACGCCTTGGCTCACCAATAAACGCCCTTAGCTTGTGTATAAACGCCCTTGGAATATCATAAAAAGTCAGAAAACCAAAGAAACATCCGCAGACTCAGATATAAGGCTGTGACTCCAAAAGATGTTTTGCACGCCGCAGATCGAAAACAAGCACTCTGAGGAAGTTCCAGGTATATTTTGTCCAACTGAAGTATACAGGAAGTTCCCTTTCAGGACCCCTAAAGACCTGATGTCGGCAATCTTTTTGATAGTCCTTGACTGTCAGCAGAGTGCAGTATCTTCCAGGAGACCGCGTTCTGGACTTCATGGTCTGAATCCCGAACCATTGCTTTAAGAAGGAATTTACACTACAACAACAGGTCGAACTCTTTTGAAGGTCGAACGGGTTAGGCGAGGGCCGGGCACATCTTCTCAGGGAGTGGATTGCGAGTTGTCAGGCTGGGTCCTCATATCTTGTCAGACATGTATAGTGGATTGAGAGTAGATGGCACAGACCCCAAGAGGTGGTTTATATGGACCCCCATATAAAGGACATGTAGGGGGTTGTGCCATCTACCCAGAAACCACGGTACTTGGACCTTCACTTCGCCCCACCCCTATTCTGATCCACCCCACACAGTGGACAAACTCTATGGCTCATGGGAGATAGCCCCCATCTCCTTTATAGGCTTTCAGACTTTTTCAGAAACCAAGATTGGGTCAAATCCTCATACCTGGAGTCGAACCCTCCTACCTCAGAACATGGGTTCAAGTACCATCTGTCGTTCAAGTCATGGTAATTTTATATAGACTCTTGATTAATAACCCCGCATATGAAGACGGCTTTCAATTCAATTGGAGAGGGTTAATAATACTTATATTTATCAATATAATATATAATAGTCAAGAGTCTACATTACTTTGGAGAGTCCAAGTATCAACCCTTTCCGGGTTGCTCAAAGAGTCACTTGGAAGAATGATGGCGAACTCTGTGTTCCAACTCCATCTCTCAGGTTGCTGCTGGCTCGGAATGGCTCCGGAAGTCCGAGCCCCATCAGGCATCGCAAAGCCCCTCATTCCCCTTTTCCCAGCTTGAATAATGACTTACAGTATACACATCTGGGAACAGTGGACTCAAACAAAGCAGGATGTATCGTACAATCCCGTTCTGGTGTGTTTTGGATCATGGAAAGTGTTGCTACCGACCTTGAAGTTTCCACTTTCCACACTTTCCCATTATAAAAACATGCATATTATAAACACCCAACAGTGGGGTTCAACACGGGCGTGTTAAAAACGATCTACGGCCACGTGTTCCGACACTTCGACCGACCCCCGCGGCCCCCAGGCGCGGTGAAGGAAGTCCTTGGCCCCAGTGGAAACCAAAGAGGAATGGCTTTATGGGACCCTCTAGGTATAGGACAGCCATGGGGACTGTAGGAACAGCGCCTTGGCCCCACCTGGGGCCAAGGAAGGTACTGTATCAATGGCTTTGTACAGCGATGCGCAAAAACACCTACCCTATTGCAGTCCCACCTAAGGGTCGAAAGTGCAGCGCCAGCGTGGTCTGCGACTTCCTCGGCCTGGAAACACTCCACGTTCGAGCGAAGGAAGGGATGCGGAGCTTTAGTTGCAACAACCAACAGAGGTTGAAGAACCCTATAGACTATCCCATAAGTACCCCAGGTTACACCTCTCTTGGAAACCCATCAAAAAGGGCCGGGTCCTACCCATGTCCCACCCGAATCACGGTACCCTCAAAGGATGAAGGCTTGCTTCGGGTCCACCCCGTTCACGACCGGTCGTCGCGGAGGTCGGAGGTCGATGGAGGAAGCGAACGTACTGGTTTGCCGATCCACATTGAATGGTCATGGGTCCTGGTAGTCTTCATGAAACAGAACGAGTCTAATTGTAGGCTCTTGATTATTAATGAACTTCCCTTATGAAGAGGTGTTAAAATTCAGTTTGAGGGAGGAGTTATTCATCAAGAGTCTATTTACATTAATTGTCAAAATTAGTCTACACTCGCTGTTTACGTGGAGTTCTCCACCGGCTTGGTCTTCAGATTGACTTCAGGGTCATCAGAGTCGAACATCGTTTACTGTGCCACTTCCATGGATGAAAACCAAGTAGGGCGTCGGACATGATCCTAGATGACTCGCCTAATGGCATGAGTCAGACCAAGAAGACGCGAGACTCGCAGCTTGACAAAAAGCGGGCGACGGCCACGACAGTTCGTGGTCAGAACATCCGCCCCACCAACCACCCGTGCACGTGTCGGAGACGCGTGTCGGAGCCGCAGCCGCGGGAGCGTGAGCGTCTTTCTTTTGGACTCGGTGCGGGTTCTTGGATTCGCCCCGGTCGATGGGGGCAGCCCCGGTGTGAGCGTCTCATAACTCATGTGACTCATGCGGGCCGTCTGACTGAAAGGCAGAGGCAAAAGAGAGTCAAATCAAGATGATCAGTACAATCTGTCCAGCGATTCCAATCTCTTTTGGGCTTTCTGCGGCCGACTGCCTTGGGAACCACGAATGACCTGAAAAGCGCCGCGCCTCTCATGACGGGTGGCCGGCCCCGACGAATGAAGAAGGCGTGAACGGGACCCGAATCAGTCGAAGGTTGCTCGAAACCATGTTGAACTGTTGGAACTTGGTGGGGAAGCAACCAAAAAGCGTCACAATCCAGCGTCAAGGGATGGAAAACGATCTTCTGAACTTCGCTCCCTAGGTCCGTTGATCGGGTCACCGGGATCCCCGCTCACTCCGGTACGATGCTCTTCGGCACCGTGCGGATCACATGCGGCACTTCAGCGCGTTGCGCAGGTGCTCCGCAACGCAAAGATTTCACGTTCCCAGCAAACGAGCCCAGCCTTGTTTGGGGGGTCAAAGAAGGCGTCCATTTATCACCCCCTCAAAAAAAGAACTAAAATACATTACAAACACTATCAAACACTTCCCAACGACCAATTCTGGTATGTTCGGGGTTGTTTGCTTCATGCCAAACACAAGTACGGCACATGTTTCTTCCACTGGTTCAGCTGGGAACGCTCTGGAAGACCTCCAACTCGTCCCTCCCTCAGCGACTCACCGAACGGCGCAGGACTTCGCCTGCGTCGCCGACGTGAGCGGAGGGGGCGCTCCATCTCTCTGGGTACGTCCCTGGTCGAACACTCCGGAGTAAGAGGTGTTGGTTGACCAACTCCAGTAAAACGAGGGTTTAGGGTTTAGGGTTTAACTGGTCATTCACCTGTTGGGAGAACTATTTCAACATATGTAAATACGACTCCTTTTTTTTGCGACTGGTCTACTCTGTCGCAACCGGCATTTGCTCAGTTCGCAGTCCCAGGATGTGGTCGCATCACTCTCGTTGAACCCACCATGAGTGGTTGGAAGATAGCCCACCATGTAGACACATACGTCCACTTTCTCCTTTCCACTCAGGATGGCGGAAATAGAACTTATCCAGAGCTCCAGACTTTGAAAGCGCAACGAACTCTACCATGAAATTTGGCCAGAGGTCCGCAATGATTGCAGAAACGTTTTTTCTTTGCTCTCGGAAACTCAGACTTCTGCATGTCTGAATATTGATAGTATCTTGCAGCCGATGGTCTGATTATGCCACCTTGAGATTCAGGAACCAAAACTTATTGAAAGGACTTCACGATTAAGTCTGTTCTATAAACATCGGTTCTTCATCCAACAAGCAGCTTCCAGAGAAAGACCTTGTTCTTTCTGTACATTATAAGCTATTATAAGTACCGTATGATTTTGTCAGTCATGTTTTCCATGTTCGGATAAATTGTTTTGGGTCGCTTCCCAGAGCTGAACAAGCTGACCCCTTGAATTGTTGCACCCCAAAAAGAAGGGTCAGACTGATGTCGACCGTCCACCTCTCCCCAGTACGGCAGGGACGTGGTAGCGCCTGCATCGTGGACAGCGCTCGCCTGGGCAGCGCTAGCTCAGGGTGACCAGGCAGCCCTCGGCACAGCATCGGGTCGGCACATGGGGTCGGCTGGTTTCGAAACGCAGGGAGCATGGGAACAGGTTCAGCAGGGTGTACAAGGGCACCCAAGCAGGGCACGGATTTTCATCAATGGCAGAACTTGCGTAGGACCGTAGGACACATTGACCTTATTTTACTGGAGTTGCGCACACAAAAACCATCAAGAACACCAGTCAACGAGGTTTTCAGAACTGGGTTTTACTGGGTCAGACTGGACCTGTAGGGGTTGTCCCTTCTCCGGACACAATTCATCACGTCCCAAACAAAAACACCTAAGGACGACATCTCCAAGTGTCCAAGACACTTGCACCCTCGAGGATTTTTCAGCTGCTTCTCAGCTGCATGTTCCAGCTGAGCATGGAGCTGGGTGGTGTGTTGTTCGTCCCGGTGAGTGGTGGACGTCCCAATGAGTGTGAACTCCATGGAAAAACTGCGGATGAATCCCTTGCTTTTCCTCCCTCTCCCAGCTGATTCCCCTGTTTTCCACCTCAGGTCCATCCCTCCGGAGGAGATGTGGCCAGGCCACGTTCCTCAACATGAGGTCTTTTCTCCCAGGACCCTCCTGTCGGGGTGTCCTGGCTGGACTACCCCACACTACCGGCCTAGGCTTCCAGACAGGGCACCCCGACAAAAAGGTCCTGGTCTGTCTCCGAACTTTCCATCTGTTCATGCGCTGGGGATCCGTTTTCCTTCGGCACGACTGGACCCGACCGTGGCAGCGGCAAAGAAGAGTGGAGACAACACATCACCGCAGCTGGGAAGGTACGAATGGATCCCTGGGGGTGTTGAGTGGGGTGTCTCCCCAACTCCTCCCCCACCTGGGTGTCCCGGTTGGAAAGGTCTTCCAGCCCACTATCCGAAATCCGAGATGTTCGGTTGTGGATGGTCCACGCACGTGATCCATCACCCATACACTCCATGGGACTGGAATATATGCCGCCCCCTGGCACCACCCCTGGCCATTTCTCGGCAGTCCTATGGCAGGCCCAGACGGGTCGCGTCTGGGGGTCATGGGACTTTCCCAAAACTTGGACTTCGAGCTCCCAACTCTCGCCAACCTCCCAACTCCTGCCCAGCGGCGACGAGGGCCAGCGACGGGACGGTTTGCGCTCCCAGGCCCAAGACGACACTGTCCTGAGCGGAGTGGTTCTGAACCGTGCGGCTTGGCGCACTGCGCCGAGGGATGCCAAATATGAAAAATGTGGAAGCCACCATTAAAAAAAAAACACAGCAACCCCTAACAATGATGATTTCTGGTGTCTTGTTGGTAAGACTCTCGGCGCCGTGTTTCTCGTTTCTGTCGGTGTTTCTCGTTGCCATGACCACGAGAGAAAGCGCATGAACGGAACAATGACTCACATGCCCATGGCCTGCACGGGTGTGAGTTCAATGAAACCAAACATCCAGTGAACCGAGAGACTTGGTACCTGATACAGTACCCTCGTACCAACTTCAGGACCGGAAACAAAAACAAGTACTCTCCATGTATCTGAGTCTTGATGAATAGTCCATGCCAGGGGATTCACCCATGTTCTTAGAAAATACCACCAGAATCACCCTCCATGGCAAGGGTCGGACCTTCTCCATCTCCACAGGGCTCCGGACGACCCCTAACCCTTCTCATGTATCTTTCTAAGGTACTTGGCAAATTTGGCCCGATATATTCCCGTCCCAAACAGGTCGTGTCTGGGGATGGTACCGACATATACATCGTTGGGTGTTCTGCTTGGACATCTCGGATAATAGCGCAGGGTAGTCCAACCAGGACACCCAAACAGGATTGACTCCCTCAGTTTCCCTTGAGTAAAAGGTTAACCTTTGTCAGTTCATATTGAAGAAACCACTCCCCAAAGAAGGTTAAAGGTTGTCTACTTAATGGGTAGGTTCATGGAGTGTCACTCACTCGTCACTTCTCTGTCCGCCCAGGTCTCTGCTGTCGTGGTGGCGTTGGGATCCTCGATCGGTCTCGACGCCATTGACACCACGCGACAAAAACCCGGTGACTATACACAAAAAACAACGGAACATGGAAGTTGTAAAGTGGGCGCTCAAAATGTTTCACGATTTGTTGATGGATTTTCCCTTACTCCTCTGAGGAGTGTAGACCATTGATGAATAAATTTGCAATTGTTCTGATAGGAGGGATTTGCATGGATTTACGAATCAACCGTGCACGAACACGAACAGGAAAATTGTTGTTTCCATCTTTAAAATAACTATTCGGTCACGGGCGCGCACTGGTCGCCTGGTACAAAACGAGGCCTGTGTTGTAAAGCCCCTTGTGAATGGAGCTTTCATGGAACACAGTGAAAAATGCAGGTTCAAAAACAATGCGTTTTCATCAGTGCGGACCGCATATGTTTGACTTTTTATCGGCCGCTGTCTCGGATCACTTGCATCAGAGCTTCCAGCACATCTTTTGGTGCTGATTTTTTCAGCTCTCTTCTCCAAGCAAACTCCCAGACTCGTCTTTCAATGGCAGGGCTATGTGCGGATGAACCATTCACTGTGACCTTCTCGGCAAGTGAGTAGGAATGAAGCTTTTCACTTCCACGTTCGATCTATTTGCTGGGTCCCTGCT